ACAGTAGCAGAAAACGGGTAATGTATGCATAGAAGTTTGCAGTATTCATAGGATACATTCATTACTGAAAACATACAGCGACAATTTACGTTAATTGCCTCCTTGCGCGTGGACAGTTTGTTGGACGGCACGTGGACTCTGACCTGTTGAACTTTTATCGGGCGTGATGACTGCTCGGTCATCTGGCCGTCCGGTGTTGGCGTAAGATGAGGTGGTGGCCTGCCCGTTCCTCAAGTGACGACTTGCTTCGGCCAAATTGAGTTTCAGCACCGAATATGGATTTGGCAAATCGTCGCACTTGTTTATTGATTTGGGGCCCGTGAACCATGACTCAAGTAGTTCTTGGCCCACCCGATTGTCCCCCCTTGCATCCCTATCATTTTTATTTTTCTTATCACACTTTCGCAAACTGGGGTATTTCTCAGCACGTTTACGCCGTACTGTATGCCAGGAATGAGGCACCTAACTCATTCTTCTTGTATTCATGCCCTCAATGTAATCAACAGAGTAACCAGGATTATTTACGATGAAAAGTCAAAAGAAGGGAATAAATTAAATAAAGCTCGCTCAATGATTGACATCCACAACGATCTGGTAGCAATCAGGCCCATCGTGCAAGGTATAAGGCATTTGAGTTTTCACTTACGTTGCACGGACTGCAATCTCATAGCTGGTGCCAAAATGACTTATTGCCTGCCACTTGCGGTTTTATATCACTTCTATGCAAATCTAGCGTTCGCATGTAGACGCCAGGAATTTAAACTAGACCTTCAGTGAGCCACTTGGAGCCCGCCAATGTGTGAGCTCAGCAACCTCTGGAGTTTAGTGAAAGGCTTGGCGAATACAACGGCGGCATCTGGTCGATAATTAGTCAAGCGCACATGACAACGAGATAGTTTGTGCAAAACTGTGCACGAATGTGTCATCGAGGTTCAGGCTGTCGTTTTTAAGGGCTGTAATTTGCATGCAGCCCAATCCGGAGAAAATTTCAGTTTAAACTAGAACAAAGGGCTATTTGCGAACGCAATTATACCTGTATCGTTTTACTTATATGGTAATTTTTACATAGACAAGTGTTTTGCCCATTTTTTGTATAAGTTATCCTAGTAAAAGTGATTTACCAGGTTCTCAGAACTGACAGCTTTTCTAAGTCCGAAATATTTATAATTGACTAAAATGGATTAGACACGACACTATGCATTTTTATAAATAAAAAACAACAACACAGACATTACGCAAAGTCACCGCAGATTCAGGTACGCAGCGTCGTCTGATTTGTCGTAACTGGGTGATTTTGAATATGGAAGACTTATACATAAGAAGGCTGTCAACTGCTAATATAAATCGGTCCTCCACAGGAATGGCAGACAGGCTAGACTGACAGTGCTACCAGCCGCGATCCAAGCTCTCAGTAAGTGATCAATCTCATAAAGTTGTCATCAATATGTTGAACTTAGTTTTCAATCATAAAGTATTATTTATCTGATACGTGAAGATTTGAGGTCCAGATATCATATCGCTTGCATCATCCCCCAAAGAAGAAGAAGGGGGTACGAGGATATTAAACGGATTTAATTGAGACTGAGGTTTCGGGCACTCGCTACGTTCCATCGTCAGGTTAACCAGCTGATGGCTCCTTGTTACCGGGACTGTTTCAGCTTTGCCTGGTATGATATCCGCTTTTGACGCACGAACTTTGACCTGCCTGTTCCCTGCTGACTGGGCGTCATTTTGACCGCTGGTGGGCTCGTGTGACCTTTGCCCCCCGATTGTGGCTGTCGTAAATCAGCGTTCTGACTGGCCTGCTCCTCGTCGACCGACTGACTAGTCAGTGTTGCTGCTTGTGTGAGTTGATGTCAATCTAATTGAAGCGGCGATGACCTAGTGTTCCAGGCTGCAGGTTGTTTTACTTCGACTGCCTTGTTTACTCAATTCTATCCGGTCCGTTTATGGGTTACGCATTAACGCAATGTATATTGTACCCCAAATATTCTGCGATATGCTTTACATTGAACTCTGTAAAATATATGTGTGCACTTTTGTTTAGGGTTTAAAAGTTTCGATGCAGCAAAACAAAATATGGCATTACAAGTTTATTACTGCATTTTGTGACAAAATATTTCAGAAATTGGCAAAAAGTCACTTACGAAACCGAATTTCAGCATATTTTTCGAAAGACAATGTGCTTCCCTGCAGTTGCTATCACCTAATTTGCAATAAGTTGCAGAAGGTAGTAGTTTACAGAATTTATCTATATAAGCATATTTTTGCTTTCTTTACTTATCATCGGGTCATCCAATTAGTTTTATTAGTATTCACTTATAACACAGTGTGCCAAAACAGAAAGCTTGGTTGTCTCATATTGTATAGCAGAGGTAATTTCTAGCATAGCCAAAACCTCAAATTTTGTCATATTTAGGTCTATTTTCCTCAAATAAACTGAAAAACCATGCAGTTTCCTTTACTAAAAATAAAACGTATATTTACTCAGAAATGGGGTTGGTCGATCAGATTCAAGGTATAAAAATAACGTAATTTACAGAAGAATTGAATTTACAATCAATGTCCGCCGAAGAGGTAGTCGAAGGGTGCAAACAGAACCAAATCCTTCTCATCTGCGCTCGGCCGAAGGATATGCATGTGTGGAAGGCGCTGAACATGCAGGTCTAACTTTGTCATGACCAGGCCCAACCAGGCGTCGTCCACTGGAATCTGCACGGTGAAGTACATGGTGAGGGCAATTTCCTGGACGACATCAGCGCCGAGGACGAAGAAGGCGCCGGAACAATAAGGCGCGAAGTGGGGCCAGGGAACTTGGCGTTTGGAAACGATCCATTTTTCCATTCCCGGATGGATATGCGGACGATATACCTTACTTGCCTGCATTGGGGAGCCCAGTACGACTCGTCGAATCTGTGCGTCCGAGAAGGCGTCCAATTCAGCCTTAAGGCGACTGGCATTGAAAGCATAGTCATCGTCCAGGAAAATGAAGACGGGGGGTCGTTGGGGCTGGTACTTAAGATGCCCGCGACAGAAGCGAGAGGCCCACTGGAATGTGTGAAATAATTTCAGGCTGAGGTTATAGTACGTGTCCTCGTAGTCGCCCAGCAGAAGGTCACCGTGGCGTTGGGCTTCCTCTGTCAGATTTCTTAACACTTCCAACCTCCGGGACTGCATCTGTTCCAGGGACGTGCCCACCCGGCCTGGCAGAGAGATGTTGATACCGTCGCGTTGGAAGAAGCGACCACCGCTGCTTCGAGGCAGTCCTAGGGAGAAGACCATGGCCATGTGGAAGGCAGGTTCACGCCTGGCTTCTTCAGCATAAGCTCTCCGTACACGCTCACGGTCCGCGAAATTGTAGACGGCAGATTTGATCACCACGATAGCATCTAGGGGCCTGTGTACTGCCTCATCAGGCACGCAGACAGTCGAACTGACTTTCAGGAATCGGATTGTCTGGTTGAATACGGGAGCCTAACAAAGGACGTAGGGATGTTTCAGTCAGGTGATGTGAAACATAGTTGTCCAAATAAAAACCCATTTCAGACCATTCAGAATGGTTGAAACAAGATTCGTGCACTTTTTGAAACGCCTTCGTTGGAAGCTCTTGCTTTGCCTACACTGTAATTTCTTTCCCAAACATCATTTCTAATGAATCTTCATCAAGTGTCCCGTCAGCTGAAACCAGGTTGCCTTAAAATTTATCATTTTTTAGTCCTTTCATGCAACGATTGTACAGAGTGGACATGTGGGTGTTCATGTTTGGCGCCAAAAAATGCGCAATTAATCTCATGTGCAACTGCACAGATATCGACAACAGCTAAAGTTTTCGATATAACGCATAGAAGTATAAGTAAAAAGTAAGATAGAAACCGCACGTTAGTAATGAATATGAAAACAAACTACAAACTAAACTAGGACTAAATTAAACTAACTAAAGAATGCTAAAGTAAATAAGCCAAACCAATCAAACTAAGAACTCTCTAACTAACTAACCCGAAAGCCCACTAACTAAAGAAAGGTAAACTAATATAAGCTGAACTAACACAACTAACAACTACTCTTAAACAAAAATAAACTAAGAAAACTGAATATTAAACCAGAAAACTAAACTGCGCTCCTAATAAGTTAAAAAGTCCAAACTAAACTGTCCAAGGAAATGTAAACAAGCAAGGAATGTAACTCCAAAATCAACCACTGGTGGCTCATAAATGCAAAAGCTAAGAAAAGTATAAACTTCAGCCTACCTAGACTCGCTAAACAAAGCTAAATTAGAAATAACGGACTTAACTAAACTTAACTGTCCGCCTTAACTAAAAAGGAATCTAAAATTGAGATTCAATTACATACCTAAATAATAAACGAAAAGCAAGACTTACATGAAGCAGAAAAATAAAAAAACTATGAAATATAAACTATAAATAAACTATTTAAGGCGCAAACTTTCCAAGATTTGGCATTTTCATGACTTTTGCGCCGTACTATGTCAGGAATGAGCACCTAACTCATTCTTCTTGTATTCATGCCCTGAATGTAACCAATACAGTAACCAAGATTACGTTCCGTTTAAAAGTCACAACTAGGAAATAACTCAATTAATATTTACTTAATTTTAATTAATTAAGTAAAATTTAAAATTCATGCTTATTCGACGTTTCCCCCCAAGAGCCCGTGGATATTACATTCCTTTCTTTTCGGCACCTACCTCTGGTATTGGACGGAATTTCCTAATGTCGTCAACCACCTGGATCATATCCAGCGCCTGCGGGTAGAGCAGAAAGACAGAGCGTGGGATTGGCCGTATCCAGTCCTCATCGGCAATCTCTGCCATGTCCGCAAACGTATATGTTTTGTTTGTTGAATTGTCTTGTTTATTGAGTGGACCGGGGACCCACCGTTCGACACTGACATTGCTACTGCCCTGGCCGTCGTTCTTCACAACCTGCACTTCCAGTGACAACTCAAAACTGTTCGTCATATAGGAGTAGTGAAGGCATTGCCAGTCAGAGTGACAGTTTCCTGCGGGCAAGATCATCCATGTGGTAGTAATCAGGACCATCATGCAAAGTGTAAGACATATGAGTCTACACCTACGTGGCACGGACTGCAACCTCATAGCTGGTGCCACAATGACTTATGCCCCGCCACTTGCGCTTTTATATCACTCGTGTGCAAATCGAGTGTTTGTGTGTGGAAGCCAGGAATTTGAATTCGACCCTCGCTGAGCTATCTAGAGCCTGCCAATGAACAGACACTCGTGTGAGTTCAGCAGCCTCCGGGTTTTAGTGAAAGGTTCGGCGGTGCCAAGGGCGGCACCCGGGGAAAAATGTGTCAAACGCACCTCAAAAATACGTAAAGGAGTCAGTTTGCACAAAACTGTGCTGGAATATGTCATCGAGGTTCACGCTGTCGTTTCTACTGGCTGTAAATTGCATGGAGCCTAATTCGGAGAATTATTTTAGGCTTAAGCTAGAGCCAAGGGATATTTGCGGTCGCATTTATACCTGTGCTGTTTTTATTAAATCGTTAGTTTTGCGTGGAAAAGCAATTTGTTTATTTTAAACGTAAGCTTAATTGATTTAGCAGATACTTAGAACTGTCAGCTTTTCTAAAACACAAGTATTTCTAAATAACAATTTTCCATTACAGACGACATTATGCCTTTTTATTTAAAAAAACAGACATTACGTAAATTCACTAAGGTTTCTGGTGCGCAGCGTGGTCTGATTTGTGGTAACTATGTGATTTCGACGATCGTAGCCTAGTAAATAAGATAGTTGTCAACTGCAAAGATGACTCGGTCCTTCTCAGGATTGGCAGGCCGCCTGGAGTGACGGTCCAACCATGTACGATCCGAACAGACAGAAGGTGGCCGATATCACAATGTCATCATCGATATTTCAAATTCAGTTTCAATTATCAAGTACTATTGATGAATGCGTGAAGGTTTTAGGTCCAGATATCATATTGTTTTCATCATCCTCAAAAGAAGAAGAGGGTGCAAGGACAATGCGAAATTATATTGAGACAGAGGTCTAGGACACTCGTTCTGTTCCATCGTTATGTTAACTAGGCGATTGTTTCTGTTTGTCGGGACCGTTTCAGCCTTGCTTGATAGCATATCCGTGCTTGACGCACGAACTTTGACCTGCCTGTTCGCTGCTGACTGACCGTGATTTTGACCGCTGTTGGGATTGTGTGACCTTTGCCCCCGATTATGGCTTTCGTAAGACAGCGTACTGACGGGCTTCGAAATAAGATGAGAAATGAAATTTTCTCAATAATCCTCACGTACGGGCGAGTTAGCAAAGAAAGCTATGAGTTAAAATGGCGAATTTAATCTTGCACTCAGTTTAAAGGTTAAAGATACCAGTTTCCCTATATGAAAACATTTTTTTATTCACAAAGATGTATAGTATTACCGATATTGTATAACAATTTATTTAATATCGTCCTTTACATTACGGCATATTTTGATCGTTTTCAATGTTTTTGAGCTTTCGTCTATAAATGCAGATTCCTTTTGACGTTTATGTCACAACCTTTTAATATAAGATGTTGATTGAGAGCACATTATCGAAAAAGAGTTTTTTGGATATTACTTCGTTTGAATATGGCCATGGGGTCTATAATCAGAAATGCCTTCAAACAACAAAACACATTGTCGAGGAAAAAGATCATCCGCAACAAAAGTCTGATATTGTTATTACGAAGGTTAAGAAAAATTTTATATAGTAGATTAAATCTTTTAAAAGCACTTTACGTAGATATTCTGCCGAGGCATTTCTGTGCATGTTACCTTTTTCAAAATGAAAATGGAGGTTTTTGAAAAGTTTTTTTAATGTATCTGAAGATAAACGATTCAGTTTGACTAGAAATTGAATAACTTATTTTACTTTTTATATTGGAGAATTATCCGCAATTGTGGACTATTTATTATATCGTTTTCACCATCCCCCAAAGAAGAGCCAGAAGAAGGTACGAGGACATGGACCGCTTTATTTTGAGACTGACGTTTTGGACACTCTCTCGGTTCCGTCGTCAGAGTAACTGGGTGGTTAGTCCTGCTAACCGAGACTGTTGCAGGCTTGCCCCGTGCTTGTTATTATATCCGTGATCGGCGCACGAACTTTGAACTGCCTGATCGATATTAAGTGACCATGGTATCGATCGCTGGTGAGCTCGTGTGATCTCTGCTCACTTTTCAGCTGTCGCATGTTAGCGTACTGGCTGACGTGCTCATCGTCGACTGGCGAATTTCTTGCCGCCTGAGTTGATCTCAACCTCGTGGGCGCGGCGGGGATGTGGTTCCTGGCCGGCTTCCCCCCTTTTTTACCCCCGACGCCGGCTCTATTCCACACTCGAGTTTATTTTGCTTTCCTGTTGGCCTGGTTTGAACTGACTGGGGTCTTGTGCGCAAAGCCCGGTAGGCGGGGTGGAGGTCTATGGCTCTGTTGAGTGTGCCAGTCGAAGACCAACTTTTCAGCAGCAATCTGGCCATTTTGTCATTGGCTCGGGCAAGTACCCTTGCTTTGCTAAAGGCGAAGACGTGTTTCTTCTGCTGTGCGTGGTCATAGACCATAGGCAGCTTATCCTTGTTGTCGACTGCCTGTTGATGCTTACGCAATCTTGTGCCTTGGCCTCTGC